CTCTGTCTCTGTCAAAAAAATAATGTTTATCATCAAGAAGACAAGAGATAACAAGTGTTGGTGAGGATGCCAAGAAAAGGGGACCCTTGTCCACTGTTAGTGGAATGTGAATTGTGCAGCCACTATGGAAGTTCTTTAAAGAAATAAAAAAATAAAAAAAATAAAAATAGAACCAGCATATAATCAAGCAGTCCTACTTCTGGGTATACCCAAGGGAAATTACAACAGGATATCAAAGACAATATGCTCTCTCATGTTTATTGCAACATTATTCAAAGTAGCCAAGATGGGAAAATAACTTGTGTTCTGTCAGTAGATGAATGGATAAACCATTAAACACACACACACACACACACACACATACACACACACACACACACACACACACACACACACACACACAAACAAAATGGAGTATTATTCAGCCACAAGAAAAAAGGAAAGCCTTCCAGTTGTGATAACATGGATGAACCATGAGAGCAGTAGGCTAAGTGAGGTAAGTCAGACAAAGACAGACACATACTACATCGTACCACTTATATATGGAATCTTAAAAAGTCAAACTCATAGAAACAGAAGGTAGCAGGGTGGTTGGCAGGGGTTAAGGAAGTGGGAGATGTTAGTCAATGTATATAAACTTGAAGTTAGAATATGAATAAATTCTGGAGATCTAATGCACAACATTGTGATTATAGTCAACAATATTGTATTTTGTACTTCAAAATTACTAAGAGACTAGATCTTAAATGTTCTCATCATACAAATAAAAAAAAATCAATAATAATGAAGGAAAAAGAAAGAAAGTAAGTAATCAAAACGTTCCATATCATCAGATACTGAAATTAGAGATAATAGCTGGTGTTTTAACTGGATATTTATGAAATTAAAGATTTAAAAAATCTATAAGCTTGAAATACATCTCCTAAAACATGATAGGGCAGGGAGACACAAGTAGAGAATTTGTTCTAATCTCTAGTGTATACTTTACACTATGAAAAATCAGGAGTTTGAAAATGAGGAGTTTCCATGGATATTTGTTTTTAGAAGATTTTTCTTTGACAATTTACATCTTTAGTAAGGATGGATCTTTTTAAAATCATTCATGATGCTTTAATTTCTTGGATCCTTGTCTATCAATAAAGTAGGTTTATTTGGTGTACTCTCCATCCAACCCAAGAATAAGCCTAACTCCATTTAGAAAAGTTTTATTTTTTTCATTTTTAAAAAAAAATTTTAAATTTTATTTTTTTTTCTATTTAGAAAAGTTTTTTTAATTTTTTTTTCAACGTTTATTTATTTTTAGGACAGAGAGAGACAGAGCATGAACGGGGGAGGGGCAGAGAGAGAGGGAGACACAGAATCGGAAACAGGCTCCAGGCTCTGAGCCATCAGCCCAGAGTCCGATGCGGGGCTCGAACTCACGGATCGCGAGATCGTGACCTGGCTGAAGTCAGACGCTTAACCGACTGCGCCACCCAGGCGCCCCTAGAAAAGTTTTAATGTGTGTTGAAATATACAACTAGGACCATCTCCAATGGCCAACCATGCCATCTTCTTGTTACCTGAGTTATGTGCAGCTTCTTTGGCTTAGGAAACTCTGATACGTTGTTTTAAATAAATTTATTTATATCTAATATTGTGTAGAATGACTTTATGTACATTATTTCTCTCTCTTTATGTTCTTATCTATATAAATGCAACATATATAAGTCCTGTACCTCCAAAAGAAAAAAATCATGAGTATTTTACTATCACCACTTTCTCCTCCATTATATCAAACATGATTCTTATCAATAACTCAGTGTACTTTAAAAAAAATAAAGAATGAAAAAAGTTTATAAGTTTACCTTAATTTAGGCAGAAAACCAATTTAATCAGGATATTCTGTTCCCCAGGCATTCTCGCTAAAAAGATTGTTATCTCAAAAGTCAAGGAATTTGAGAGTGCTGTATCTGATTATGATTTTTCACCCTAAACTTAGTCTCACTTCTGTGACTTGTCTATGAGGAGTTCTCAAGCTCTCCTAAGGGTTAAGCCCATGTCAGTACATGGAGGCATGACGAAGTTCAGGTAGAAAAAGTGATAACCAAATGTGATACATTCTAATTAGATTTTGCTGTCCTCCAGGCTAGGACCTCTGGTAATGATATATCCACAAGAGGTAGAAAGTTAAACAGTAAAGGCCAATGAAGAAACCTTAATAAAAATTAATAAACACTTTCAAAGTAAGTACAAATTAAGGCTGTTGGGCTCTATTTAATTTTATAGGTGCAACATTTTCTTAAACTCTTGCTGCCTTACAATCTGAGAAAATCATATGATCAGATAAAAGGGCTGTTAATCAATTTAAGATTATAAAATTCCTAGAGTTTTGTTTTTTAAAAAACATATTCTTCTCCCATGTTTATTACAGTATCTCCAGGTTGTACCTAATTAGATCTTCATTTCTTGTTATTGCCCTTAAAAATGAGCCAATTAGTCTAGAGTAGGTTAATTTAGAGAATTTTTAATAACCTTTCAGAAGCTTTATGCTGATTTGCTTGTCATTCTGCCAAAGTATGAGTCAACTGGAGTATTGGTAATGACCACACCCACTCTTCAGAGCAGCAATTTAAGAATGGATAATGGATATTCTGTAGGCTCCTTAAAACAAGGCAGACAGCACAGTTGAGGAGACATGTGCTTGAAAATCCCCCAGTGCCATATTTGGCACATAATACTTAGATTGCCAGCTCTTAAGGTGGACTTAATTTTTAAGTTATTATTTGTTTTGCCCCTTTTTATGTTCTACTTTTGTCTAGCTCTATTCACATGTCTTTGGCTCACAGTAGTTTTAATATTGGCCTACCATGTAGCTAACATTTCTAGAATGTTAAAGTACAATGTATTTTTATATAATTACTAAGATTTTTTAAACTTGACATTTTAAAATGTTTTATAACACATGAATGCATCTTTTTATCAACATTTATAAGCTGGGACTCAATTGTATTAGCTATTTGAGAATCTTTTAGTTTTATAAATTCTTCTAGAATATTCTAAGAATATCTATAATATTTTATTATCTGTGCATTTGTAAGGTACCATCTCAGATCAAACCTTGAACATTGACATCTGCTTAAAGAATACCGAATGACTGTTCTAACTCTATGACAGTTAATTTTATGTGCCATGCTGGTCCAAGGAATGCTCAGATAGCTGGTAAAACATTATACCTGGATGTGTCTGTGAGGATATTTTTGGTAGAGATTAGTGTTTGACTCAGCAGAATGAGTGAAAAAGATTGCCCTCACCAATGCAGGGGTCCTCATACAGTCCACTGAAGGACTGAATGGAAGGAAAAAGGGTGAGGAAGGGTGAATTTGCTCTCTGCTTGAGCTGAGACATCCATATTCTCTGGTACTTAGACATTCAGCTACTTGGTTCTTGGATCTTCAAACTCAGACTGGGACTTATACCCTGGTTCTCAGGCCTTCAGAGTTTGACTAGAATGGGCTTTCCTGGGCCTCCAGCTTTCAGAAATCAGATGGCAGAACTCCTCAGCTTCCATGATTGTAGAGCCCATACTTCATAATCAATCTTTTTCTATGTATTTATATCTCTATCTGTATTTTTCTATTGTCTTCTATTGGTTTTGTCTCTGTATATCTATCTATCTATCTATCTATCTATCTATCTATCTATCTATCTATCATTTGTCATCTCCTATTGGTTCTGTTTCCCTAGAGAGCCTTGACTAATACAAGTACTTTGAATTTTTTTTAGTTTATAATAAATATGTCATGCTCCTTTATTTTGTTAAGAACAAATATCATAGTTTTCTCTTAGATTTAGCTTGTGTACCAAAAAGTACATCCTCATAACTTATTGAAAATATTATTTTATATTTTATAATTATTGGAAGTTTCTTGATATAGGAGAAATGTCCTCTCTAAATAATTGTTTTAGTCAACTTTTAAGTGTTATTAAAATCTAAGTAAGCTTTTATAGTTAAGTAATTTTTACAATAGTTTTTTTCAAAATAAAATACATATAATATCTTGTCCCTCATCACTTTCCTTTTGATTATAGAAGTACAAAAACTAGGACAAAGTACTTTCTTTGATGTTTTTTGGTAGCAATGCATTTTTATATGGAAGGTAACTTGTGAAAGATACAAATCTTTGTGAAAGATACAAACAGAACCAGAAACTTCTTAATATAATTGTACTTGGTTCCAAAATTTCTCATATGTTATTCAAGACACATGCATATCTGTGTATTATCCTAGACATGCTTGGTTTATAAGTTTTACACTATTTATTTATAGAGTTTTTAAAAAATGTTTATTTTTAAGAGAAAGTATGAAAGAGCAAGTGAGGAGAGAGGGGAGAGAGAGAGAGAGAGAGAGACAGAGAGAGAGAGAGAGAGAGAGAGAGAGAGAGAGAGAGAGAGAGAGAATGAGAGCTTCTATCAGCACAGAGCCTGACACGGGGCTCAAATCTACGAATTGTGAGATCATGACCTAAGCTGAAACCAAGAGTCAGATGCTTAACCAACTGAGCCACCCAGGTGTCCCTATACTATTTATTTGTTAAACAAATGTTTATTTTAAGCCTATTATACAAGTTTGTCCCGTATCTGATTTGGAAAAAAAAGGTATAGAAATGGGTGGAATCTGAGTCCCTGAACTTCACCTTTCCTTATAAGTTTTCCTATCTATAGCCAATCCTTTGACATTATTAAAGGAAATAATCAGGTACAAAAGAAGCATACAGTGCACATCAATTATTATGTAAGAAATTTGCCCCCAAACTCTTACATAGAACTTCTGCTTCTCATCAGCTTGTCTAGACTAATATATGTATCTAGACCAATAACTAGCATATGTGTCTTCTAGGGAAGCCTAGACCCTTTTTTTTTTCTTGTATTGTTTAAGGATTAATTATAATTCTGATAAGGACTTCTATTTACCTATGACATTTAGCCTAATAACATACATGCTGTCTCTGCTTTGGTAGGATCAAATGATAGAAGACTTGTGGGATCACAAATAAAAATGTATCACTGAAGGACCTAACAAAGGTAGGATCCCTTAAAAGAAATTAAGCAGAATTTCAAGGAATGGTTCTCCTCATTGTGTTTTTCTAGCTGGGTTCCATAGTATATGTGTTTCATTTATTCCATCATCTAATTACAGTAAGACTGATCTTTATGTTTTCTGATTTTATCACTCCTACATTATGAGGACATTAACCAAGTTCATCCTTAGTGGATACTAAGTGAAGACACAAAGTCATTTATTAACAAGCATGAAATCAGTATCCTCTATTTCCTTGATTTTATGCTTACATAAAAATATATTCTTTTAGGTTTTTATTAGTGTAGAATATATGCATTCAATTAATAAGGATCCAAGTATCTACACTTCCTGAAAAAGTCATACTTGTTACATTTAAAGAGCAATGTAATGTAAAGTTATTGTATAAATGCTATGTCTATTCTGTTTCTTGGTTATATTTGCTTTACTTTTAAATCTGAAACATTTCTGGACTCTTTGATGAAAGGTTTACGTTCTAAACTGAATTTAATTCTGGAACCACTACAGAGCACTTTGTGATGGAACATTACCAATTAAATATCCACAAATGTTTTTTTTTTTAAAAAGTATAAGTCTCTGTTCCATAATTCTGGTATGTAGTCTTTAGGTGGCACTGTGGTTCCAGTAGTAAATGATTTAATATTAGAGTCTTTTGTTAGGTTTATGAATAAAGAACTCTGCCACTATTTTTGCATTTATTTTTCATACTTATGCCTTGTATTACAGGAATTATAACTTTTTCTCACATATTATTTCACATTATTGTAAACCTAAGAATTAAGCAAAACACTCCTTTTATTCCCCTTTGACAGATGGCAAAAATAAGTCTCAGAGAAGTTAAATGGTTTTCACAGGCCTCCTCATGCCCTACAGAATATTTTGAAAAAGATGTTTTATCTTTCTTCCTGGGCTGTGTCTGCTTTAGGGTCATGCGCTTTCCCAAGTCCCCCAGCTCCAGAATGATTGACACTGACTTTGGTGATGTTACTCACTTGGATGATGTTTCTGTTGAACAGAGAGCAGTGATGATTTCAGTATGCCACGGTTCTCTTAATCTCTTCATCTCTTTGTTCATCTTTACATATCTATTCTAAAGAGGACAATAGGCTTTAATAAGTGTTTGGGTAATTAATGAACATAGGGCATAACATTTAGAACTATATGCTAAATGAAACTGTTCACTCAGTACAAAGGAAACATACCTAACAAGATAAATATTTTCCTTAGTGTTCCTCTAAAGGGACTCCCATTTATATGTCCAGTTCCTAAATTTAATATTGTGTTAAAGTTTTTGCCTATCTGTTGAAAATATCTTCTTCCTCCAAACTCGAGTGTATAATCTAGATCCAACTTTTGGGGAAAACTAACTAAACTATGTAGTTGGTATCCCTGCTTCTCTAGAAAGGCTTTCCATAATTTGACATCTCCAACCAATAAAATATGTGTTGGGCTTCAGTTAGAAATTCTATAGGTAGTCCTCAGAGCAGCCCATTAATGGGCTAGGCATTCTCATGTTCATTCTCAAGTTCAATCTCAAGTTCATGCTCAAGTTACCCCATAACTTCCCATACTCCTTTTCTTCAGTGGAATTAGTACTTCATTATTAGGTGGAGCACCATCTCACTTTCAAATGATGCTCCTTTGGCCCGCATAGAATAAGATTTGGGTCAATGCTGATCCACGTGGTCTTACTCACTACTTCTCTGACTATACCAAGGTATGACTACGGTTTCCTATTTCTATTTGTAAGTAGTCAATTAAATTATTAACAAAAAACTCTCCTCTTCCCCGGGCTGGAGAGAGAGGAGAGAAAGTAAGTGCATTGCTCTAATTATAGCTGGAACGGCTTGTTTGATTGCAAATATGAATTATGGAAAAAGAATCCAATGTCAGTTTCTTTAATGGTGCTTTCTAGCACCTCTTGATTCTGATACCAAACTTACTGTTTCTCTGAGTTTATGCTATGTAACTTAAAAGTACTTTCCAAAATGTTGACTGCTTACTGTGAAATGCCAAAGGGAGGCAGAGCCCTTAATCATGGAGAATTCAGGACAGAGGGAAAGGTAGAGCCATATGGTTGGAAATAATGTGGCTGACTGATACGAAATTGCACATGAATTTTACAATACCCAATCGGGTTTCAAAAGTTATATTTGAGTGATTTCTAATTTCTTAGTGCCTTGCTTATAATTTTCTTAATGCTTTAATGTCACGTCATATTTGGGTCACAATTATATTGTATTAGAAATTTTCTAATAACAAGGATTATGTTTTTTATTTTAGTGTTTTCTATCATAAAGCCTTTTGTGGTCTCACACTGACAGTATCTTACCAGTCTAGGACTAAAGGGAAAAATAAACTTATTTCCACAGTATTTCTCAGATGACTGTAGCCCAAACAAAGCTTGCATTAACAATCTTAAAACAATAACTTTATATTTCAATATTCACTCATCCTCAAAGTTCCTATGAGTACATATGTATATATGTTGCAAGTGAACAGTTAATAGATGTGGATTTATTGGATCCCTGTAACAACCTAAAAGAAAGAAATATAAGCAAAGAAATAAGAATCCACATACATTGTTTTATGGAAGAGGGTGATGATATCTATTTTATAGATGAGGAACCTACCTTTCAATAAGAAGGCAAATCATTTCCATAAATTTCACTACATTTCCTACATTTCTAAAAATAAAACAAAAGTCTGAATATAAGAAATTAAAGTAAAAATATTTTCATTTGTAAGTAGAGAAGAGACAAGATGAATATTTTGTCCTTTAGAGTGTATAAACATTTGTGGACATTAGAATTATCCAGACACATAGGAGACCTGAATATATTGACATGATTAAAATATATTGCTTTTTTATGTTGCCATAGAATGTATATTGTTTTGACAAGATGAGACACATATTTACAACACTGCATATAATCCAAGATTGCAGAGTTTTAAGTTTCACTGTGATCAAAATTGATACTTCTTAAAAACTGTGAACTTGTATTCAGAATTTGGGGGACAAAGAACTAAAAGGCAAGTGAAAATTTCCTTGAGGCAATTACATTAAAGCCAAATAACCTAGAGAAAAATGAAGGAATGTATGTATACATATATGCTAGTTAATTTTCACACATATAAATACATTATACATATGATTGTTTTAAAATTATTGGTGATTTTTCTGGGGTATTTCATCTTCATTAATGTTCATTTTAAACTAATGATATGAAGGTCCATTTATACTCCTAGGGTCAATGAAAACATGATTTAGGTTCTTAGCTAAATTTCAATCAAGGCTGTGATACTTTCCAGCTAAGTATTTTTCAACAGTTTCTTGATCTCTGACAACTTTGATTTAATTACTCACATGGCTTATGGAGTTGATGGGAGGGTGCAGAGACATATAACACATGTAGAATATCTAACCAGGTGCCATTTTAATGGCAGAGTAACACTGTAATAAATGTTAGGTATTATTGTGAGCTACTATTATGACACCTTATATCATAGATCTCAAATCAGTTTTTGACATATTATAAACAAATGATAGTTACATAGATGGTATTTGATTAATTTGATTAATGATTAAAAATATGCTTTAAGAAGTACACTTAGAAGTTTCTTTGTGCTTTAATTTGTAGACATTCCATACTCTGTATTTCATTTTATCACACACATTTTATTACAGATAATGTGCTTTTGTCAAATATTCCAAATTTCCTTTGGGATGGACAAAAAGTACTGATTAATATATTTTTAAAGTGTGAAGAGGTGGTTTTCATTGACTGTATTGTGAAAATTAAATATGAATAATTAGTTTAAGAAGAGTCACATTTAACAATATTCAGTTGAAATCATCAATAGTAACTTTGTCTACTTCCTCCTTGAGTTTAGCATTGCTAGCTTGATGATAGCAATTATTTTGAGTAATTCTTTGGTAAACTCCTTACTTCCAGGACCGTAAATGCTAATTGTTTCCTCTGTTCCAATTTAACAAGACAATTTAGGGATTTTTACAAAATTTAATATTTTGACTTCATGCAAATTCAACAATATGTTTATGCTTACATATTAATTAAATGTTCTTGTTATATTTTCTTGCTCTTCCAATTTTACCAATGGTAAAATCTCAAATAAAGAATTTAACTAAATGTATGGCATATTTTTTGCATGATAAAAATAAGTAGTTATTTTGATGTATCTCTGGACTAATACCAGGGTTTAGTAACTTAAGAAGTAGAATGTTTGCCCTCATGTTGATAACTTACAACAGGCATCAACATGGCCCCTGAGTTTCAGCATATAGCCCTCAAGAACTAAGATCACATTATCAAACTAAATAGCATTGGAGCCTCTGGTGTTGTTAGCCCTCTTTCAATATAATCTCTAAAGCCCTATCTCCACTCCCTCTTGGGCAGCCTCAAGTAATCATGCCCTTTCCATCTTTGTATTCAAAGACATAGTATAGTGACTGCTACAAATTGGGTGTTGAGGAATCATTTGGTGAATATGTTAATAAATGAATTAGTGAAAAATGATACAGTGAAGGCATAAACTAGGAAAATATAATAAGCATATTTTATCAGCCACTGCTTGTGGTTGTTATATTAGAAAACAAAATTGACTGCTTAGAAAGTTAGACTGGTTACAGTTACATATATGGTAGATTTCTGAGATTCACTTCTGCTACCATTTTCTGTAAAGTTTAACATACCTGAAGTTCTCATAGAGGAGAAAAGGTCGGCTGAGGAGATTTGATAATGCAGTTCTTTCAAGAGGCTTGGTGATTGTCGAGTGTTTTAAAGAAAGTTGCAGGGCACTTTTGCTAGGATTTAAGCTGTCACTCTGTCCATTTAAGTCCTGTACGTAAAGAGAAATCTCTTCTCCATGTGAGTCTTGGGTTGAATGATCTCACTCACATGAAAGTCCCTTTCAAAGTTCTTCTGTCCCCATAAATAAGGGCTTCTAATTCCCCTAGCATCCTT